GACGGAATCGACGCGCACGAGAACGAAGGGGCAAGTGCGCAAATCCGGGTGTACCTGTTGACTCCGAGGACTGATTCGAGGTGGCGTTGGACGAATTGTACTGAAGTGCTGCCTCAGGCGTGTGACGTACGAGGTCGGATCGACTTCTCCAGTAACCCTTGAGTCTAGCACCATTTCTCCAGGAAGCCTCAGAGTAGTGCCAAAGACCAACTCAGCGGGACAACAGCCAATGTCTTCTTTAATGGTGTTACGGATACCAAGCAAGATAATCGGTAGACGTTCTGACCATTGTGAATTCGACTGTGAAGCAGTAAGCGCAGCTTTAAGTTGACGATGGAAACGTTCAACGATGCCATTAGCAGCTGGGTGATAGGCGGTTGTCCGTAGGTGGGAACAACCGAGCAAGCGGTTCATGTCACGAAACAAGGCCGAATTGAATTGGGAGCCTCTATCGGTAGTAATAGTGGCTGGTGTGCCAAAGACGGAAATCCAATTCTCAATGAATGTTCGCGCCACCGTTTCTGTAGAAGCATCACGTAAAGGCACGGCAAGTGGCCAACGCGTATAACGATCAACACATGTCAATAAGTAGACAAAACCGTTGGATGGAGGCAAGGGTCCAACGATGTCAAGATGAACATGTTTGAAACGAGCGTCGGGAAGGGCAAACGTGCCGGGGACGGTAATCGTGTGACGGTGGATCTTGCTGGTTTGGCAAGTGATACAATGTTTGGCCCACTGCTGGATCTCGGAGCGCATGTTGTGCCAAATGAAGCGATCGGTGATTAGCTTGACGGTGGCTCGGATGCTCGGGTGTGAGATTCCATGCAGGTGGTCAAAGACGATTCGGCGGTACTGCTGAGGGACAAAAGGCCGGGGCTTGCCAGTAGACATATCACAGTAAATTTTGGAGTCTGAGTTAAGAATTGGCAACTGTGAGATTTTGATCGACGGATTTGATCTTAGTTGCACAAACTCAGGATCTCCTTCCTGATGAGCTGCTATGTCTTCTAAGTTAATCTTCTGCCGTGAAACTTCGTGAAGACATATACGTGACATGGCATCGGCGACAACATTATTGGCAGCATCGACATGGCGAATGTCGGTAGAAAACTGTGAAATGTAATCCAAATGACGAATTTCTCTGGGGGAGAAACGGTCGGATGAACCACGGAAAGCAAAAGCAAGTGGTTTATGGTCTGTAAGAATGGTAAAAGTGCGACCTTCAAGCAGATGCCGAAAATGTTTGATAGCAAGGTAGATAGCTAAAAGTTCTCGACCGAATGTGCTGTATCGCGTCTGTGCTGGCTGGAGTTTACGAGAGAAGAAGGATAGCGGCTCAGGTTGGCCGTTGATTGCTTGCTGGAGAACAGCCCCAACGGCGGTCTGAGATGCATCAGTCTTGAGGATCAGAGTGGCGTCAACATCAGTCCTCAAATGACTAAGCGCGGTAGCGTTGGACAACGCGTGCTTGATCTTGTCGAATGCATCGATAGCTTCCTGAGTTGGCTCGAATTTCCGTGACTTGCCTTTAAGTAAATCGGTCAATGGCTGGAGTAGCCCAGAGCAATCTGGTATGAAACGGCTGTAGTAATTCACCATGCCGAGAAAACGACGGAGACTTTTGAAAGATTGAGGCATGGGATAGTCTGCAATCGCTTGTGTTTTCTCGGGGAGTGGACTGATGCCATTGCAATCAATTCGGTGGCCCAAAAAATCAACAGAACTTTGGCCAAAAACACATTTGTCAACATTGATCGTAACGCCGTACTGAACAAAGCGTTCAAAGATCGATCGGAGATGTGACAGATGCTCATCATGATTGGAACTGGCCACAAGAATATCGTCAATGTAGGCGTAGACGAAATCGAGCCCTCTAAGGACTTGATCGATAAACCTTTGGAAAGTCTGTGCGGCATTTCGTAGACCAAATGGCATGCGAACGAATTCATAAAGACCAAAAGGCGTGGTTATAGCGGTCTTCGGAATATCGTCGGGAGCAACCGGAATTTGGTGGTATGCACGCACCAAGTCAATCTTAGAGAAAACTGTTCTTCCATGTAAGCCAGTTGAAAAATCATGGATGTGCGGAATCGGATATCTATCGGGGACGGTGGCATTGTTTAGTGCACGGTAATCTCCGCAAGGTCTCCAGTCGCCACTGGACTTTTTGGGAACCATATGAAGCGGGGAGGACCATGGGCTATTGGAAGGACGAACGATACCGAGACGAAGCATATGTTCGAACTCTGCCTTGGCAGTAGCGAGCTTGTCTGGAGGTAATCGTCGAGGTCGGGCGGTTACTGGCGGTCCATGTGTTATGATGTGGTGCGTAACTTCGTGCTTAGGCTCAGGAAAGTCATTAGGCGATTGACAAAGAGCAGGAAATTGCAGTAATAGTTTGGTAAACACATTGTCGGCGGGCAATGCCAAGCGAAGACCGATCGAACTGATCGAAGTGACTTTACCCGAAACGGACAAGGATGTCAAACTATCGCATAGTTTACGGTTACGCGGGTCCACGATCAGGCCAAACTTGGTAAGAAAATCAACACCAAGGATGGGGCGTTGGACGTCAGCGATGAGGAAAACAAAGGGAAAACTTCGACGAAGACCAAGGTTAAGAGTCAACATTTTCTGGCCGTATGTATGGATCTTGGTATTGTTCGCCGCCTGCAATGTCAGTCCGGTTGGAAGTAGGTTGCGTTTTTCTGCAGAACGAGGAATAACGCTGACCTCGGCACCGGTGTCAACCAAGAAGTTCAAATTGGTTGAGGAATCGTAGACGTAAAGTAGGCGACTGTAAGATTGGCCAGACGCAGCCGTCGCCATCACTGGCTGGCGTGGAAGTTTCCCTGCTGCGGTTTGTGGAATGCCTTCGGATGGTTACAACCAGGTCGGCAATTCCTTGCATCATCGCCAAAACGGTGGTGGTACCAACAGAAATGACGTTTGGAACTCCTGGCGGGGCTACGTCTGCTTCGAGAGGAGCGTCTAGGGCTTCTACCACGGTAGCGATTAATGCTCGAGATGGCGAGCTCCAGCTTCGATAACCTCTCAGAAATGGTTTCAATCGGGTCAGTTCTAAGATTCGCGTTAGTGGTCGACTCAACTGCGTGACATGCTGAGGGTTGATGAAAGTGCTCATGAACTTTGTCTGCTGTTTCAGCCAGCTTGTCCAAAGACAAATCATCTGCGAAGACGGCGAGAAGAGCTGAGGTGTTCGATGGAAGGCATTTGGTCCAAAGCTGTCGCAGAATCGTGTCATCGAGCTTACAGGTACCGACCAACGTACGCATGTGCCTGAGAAGTTGTGACGGCGTGCGATCGCCTAGTTCAAGACCGGAAAGTAATTGTCGAAGTCTAGCTTCGTCGGAGGCCGTGGTGCGCTTTAATACGGCGGCTTTGAGTTTATCGTAAGGTGCGTCAGCCGGAATCGGATCGAGCAAGTCTATAAGGTCAGTTGCGATGTGGGTAGGAAGCTGGGAAGTGACATGTGCGAACATTAAGGACTGAGAAGTAATACGACGTATGCGAAAAAGAGCTTCCAACTGTAAAAACCACACGTGAGGATTAGAAGAATCGAAGGTAGGGAAGGAAAAACCAACAAAATTTTCTGAAATGTCAGTGCGGGGATCGTGGTCCGACATAGTCAAGTCACACAAAAAAGGAGTTCTGAGCTTTCAAAAAAAGAAAACGGGGTCACCAAATATGTAGTGGAAAAGCCAAACGGAAAGGGCTTAACTACATATAAGAACTCAGTCTATAAATAAGAATGCTGTGGCTGACCTTAGGTAAAGCACGATCCTCACTAGGCTGTCAGTTAGTCGCACAATCTGGTCGGAAGACGGAACTTAGTCGGCACAATAAATCGACGCGTTAGATCCGATGATCGATGGACGAAGCCAGCAGACAGACGACGACCAACAGCACAACACGCGTAGCGGAAACCAGAAGACGAATCGAAACCCGAAAAAGGTGTTGTATCGGTCGTTGGTCAGTTAAAACAAAACTGTACAATAATAATGGAAGTGAGAATAGGAAAGTACAATTGGGAAGAAAGATATGTACAAGCGCTACAAGCTCAACCAGACGACAGTCAAGGTGGGTCTTAAAATTCGCCACAGTGGGTGCTAAAACTAAATGGGCAGGCAGGGCATTCCACGGCCGACAGATTCGCAAAGCGAAGTAGTGTCGTCTGCAGTTCAGCCGACACTGCTGATGTGTGGGCCTCAGTTAGTGGCCACGTACGTAGGAGCACGATTGGTGCAGTGTGAGTAGGTGGCGACAGAGATGTCCAGGGTTGGATAAAATCATTAATACGAGTATCAGCTCGCCCCGTAGACGTCGGTACTTAAACGAGTAGAGGCCCAGGCACTGAGTTCGTTGTGGATAATCTAGGTGCTTGAGAACTCGGACCAGTTTTGTGGCTCGATAATGTGGGGCTTTGAGTATATTTTGGTCCTTAAACAACCATGGGCTCCAAGCCTGAATATCAAACTACAAGTAGGGTCGAAGAAAATCGTTGAGGAGGCGGAAGTTCCTAAGGTCAATTTGACTGAAAGCCGTATGGGCAATCTTACCATGCGGTTAGCAGCAGCTGCTGCTTTCCCGCAGAAAGCGGATACGAAAGGTCTCGTCTAGGTAATGATACCCGGGGTTCACCTCATTAACTGTCGATGTGAGTGCATTTCCGTGTAGCTGACCTAGTATCCTGCGTGGGCGAATTCTCCCGTGGGTGAGTGTGAGTGTAAGCGCAGATGAAATGGGGAGATGCCTGTAGTCCGACGTGAAGGTGTTGGACTGGGTTATTCCCGACATGTGTTGATTGTTTGCGGATTGCACAGACATGTGACAGTGTGAATCTCGGTGCGATGGACGAATTCTTTAGTAATCTGAGACGTTGTTGTAAGCGTAGTTGTTGTACTTTATGTTTCAGTACTGGTGACGCGAAACGCGCTATTTGCGGGTTGTTTATGTGAACGGGGCGGTCGGTAGTGATGGTGCGTTTCAAGTGAGTTTGTTTTTTTTGTTACATGTTTTGTATATTGCTGCGGTTTTCTTGTGGTCACAGTGGTTATGCGGGATGTTTGTGGGTACAGTGAGAACGAGGCGTTGGCAGCCCTGCTTGTGGTGGTCGTTCTTTCGATTAGGCAAGTAACCAGGGTAGATTTACGCGGGACTGTTGCTTTACAGATGCGGTGTGTGTGACTTGCCAACTGTATGTGTTTGTCATGTGTGCTTAAGCGATTTCTTGCGTGTTTCTCGTTTGTGTTTGCTGTTGTAGAATGGGACGAGGGCTTGTGGTTCCGTGGCGAATTGTGAGACGGTGTATTTATCCGCGCATTTGTCTGCCGACGTTGTTGCGTTGAGTTTGGGTTAGGGTGGTTTGGGTTCTGAAGATGCATTGGATCGGTATACCGAGTGAGGTTGTTCACGGAACGGTAGGAAGGTGGTAGGTTTGTTGTTTTCAGAGGTTCGGGCTAGGACGGCGTGTACGACAAGTGGTTTGCATGTTGCACCCATGCATACGAGTTATCGAGCGGTTCGTAATTGTTGTTGCACGTTCGCTCATCATCGTCATCATCAATACACGTTAGCTGAGGGTGAGGAACACGCCTCAGTTGGTGTGCCGCAATACAAGGAAGCCGAGGTACTAAAAATAACACCAGAAAGAATGCAAAAGTCAGATAATCTGATGTTAACTATCATTTTATTACTTATTTGTTGTGATATCGTTATTTGTTGTGGAATCTCAAGGAAAGGGTGATGGACAACGCAACTCACAGCCCAAACACCATTGGGGCCGGTTCCTATCCATGTCGTCAGTTGTGTCCAGCCAAACGTGTTCATCATCCTTGGGACCCCAGCCCAGTAGTCGGGATGGTTCAACCGACGCCAGCTTCGAAGTGAGGGCGTACATTCCTTTTGACCAGGTGATTGTTTGATCTTCCCTCTATCTGTTCCACCCAGATCCGGGTGCGCAAACAACAGTCGTCGCGGTAGTCGGTGTGCTGGCATGCGCAATGCGTGGCCCAGTCACCGGAGCCTGTTGCGTGATCTGATGGTGCTGAGTGGTTCACTCGGTTTTCCTGTACCAAATACACGACGCCGAACAAATTCATTGCTCATGCGATGCTCCCACCAGACATGAGCTGCGAAGGCAGCGATATTCGAATGTTGCTAGCCTCTTTATGTCTGTCGACATTATGGGCCAGGTTTTACAACCATATAAGAGGGTTGAACGGACGTGTGCATTGTAAACTGTGCCCTTTAGGGCGAGGGTAGTATGGCGTCGGCGCCACAGATGGCGGAGATTGGCAAAAGCACCTCGAGATTTTGCTTTGCGGTTGGTGACCTTTCGTCTTCGATTCCCACGAGCGCTGTCCAGATACTTGAATTGCTGAACGACTTTTAGCTGATCCCCACCAAGGGTTAGTTCAGGGGTGAGTTCTTGCGAATCTTGGAGGAGGACTTTGCAGTTCTAAGTAGCGAAGCATAGCCCAAAACGACAGCCAGTGCTATTCGGTGTGGTGCTGTTTGGCACGTTTGTGAGCTGTCATAGATGAGGGCAATGTTGTCCGCATACTCCAAGTCAAGAAGTGGCTCACCAGGAGGTAGCTCCACACCTTGTAGATCGTGTGCAGCGAAGGTTGCTTCAACACGGAAAGCTCATATGGAATCTCTTCCAAAGTGGGAGGTGTGCTATCAGCTTCCCACGTATGTCTGGGTGTTTCGGCAAGCGGAAGTGTCGCCCAACGGGCTAGTCGAGGACGCTGTGAATAGATCAATAGTCCATCTTTCTCAGCTGTTGTCTCGCTGCCTGCTATCTTTCTCGGGTGAGCTAGAATAGCACTGGGCTGTTACCAATAGCGCTGGCTTTCTCCATCTCACGGGCCTTTGCAACCCACCAAGCTTTCCGTTCAACTCGAAGACTCCTTGATAAATGTCTCAGGGAGTTACGGCTTCTCTGAAACTCAGTGCCCATCGGAACCTATTTACGCGCTTCGATCAAACTGATCGGTGCGTCGAAGACCAATCCCTAGTTACATCGTCTCAAGTCGGGTACACAGCAAGCGTCAAAGTCATTCTTCATGACACACCTGATGCGATCCTAATTAACGTTCGGCTCACCAACCTCATTCACCACTGACAATTGGTGGGTCAGTTCGTTATGTTGTTGTTGAACCGCACACTGCGAGTTCGTTACAGGTAAGAAGATTGGAAGATATGCGCTTCTTTGGAGCGGGATGAGTAGGCGCCAAGCGTGCGTGCATTAGAGCATGGTTTGAATCCAGGTTATTGCTCCACACTAACTGATAGTCTTGTACTGATTTGCGCCATCTTTAGCTGATGGCAATATGTTTAATTAGGTTTCAGGTCATTGAGGAAATCGGTGGGCGCCAGGTGAGGTGGTGTGGACGTTTGTGCTGGAAAGCAGTGCTGCTACTGTACAGATTGTGGTCAGCGCACAGTTGCAGGAATCGATCCCCACTGTCTGTTCGGTGTGTATGAACTCCGAAGCGCCTTCCCATGTGTTGTTCAGTATCTGCAAGACGACGCACTTGAGTGTTTAAGTCACCAGGAACAATCACTATGCCAGTAATCTTCGCCATGCGTTGAAGGGATGAGAAATGGTAGTAGAAATCATCTATGGTACTCTCCGAGCTGCTTTCCGTGGGAGCATAAACGGAGGCGATAAAAAGGCACATTGTCTTCATACGGTGTTTATTAATCCTAACAGAGGTTGTAAGTTGAAAGGCACACATGCGGTCGAGTAGATTAGCTTCAACACGTCTGCTGAGGACGATACCAAAACCGTAAATACCTTGAGCCCTTGACTCGGTATCACCGGAGAGGCGAAGAGTGTAGTCATCGTCGTCAGTTTCCGAACCAGGGAGTCGCAGATTCATCACAACGCTGTTGTCTTGTATGCGTGTTTTGGAGACGCAGTACACATCAACACCAAGAGAGTGAAAGGTGAAAGTGCTTCCTGTTGACCGGACGTTAAAAGAACCAATGTGAAATGAGACTCGTTGTTTGATGGACGAGTTATGAGTGTCGATGGCAGCGGGAGTGAGGTCAGCAGCAGATTCTTACTCAGTAGACGGGGAGGAAGAATTAGGGGGGGGGAGAGAGAAATAAAAAGAGTTAGTATTGTCGATGTGGTCGAGAGGGTAGGTGATACTCTCCGGCTGCCCATCTCCAGATAGGTATTTTGTTCGAGGTGCCGTATCTCTAGCCTTTGACTCAAGTCTGATGCACAAGACAGTGGTGGATTTGATGGTTTGTTTGATGAACTCCACGCGGAGCTTTTGGCTCAATAGCCTGATGCACAAATCAGTGGGTGATTTGGAAGTTTGCTTGAAGGACTCCACCTGGAGCCTTTGGCTCGGTAGCTTGACTCGCAAGGTAAGGGCTAGCAAGTTCAGCTCGAAGGTGTGATTGTAGAGACCGGTTGTAATCTGCTCGAGGACTGTCACACACAGCGTTTGAAGATTTGTAACAACGCACACGTGTTTTACGACCGTAGTACGTGATGCAGCTGCGACCACGGCCAGCCGCAGGTGGAAGTTGGCGGGTTCGCACCAGTTTGGCTAGGTTTTGAAGGAAAAGGGCTATGGACCTCTCACTAACCTCTGAAGAGGATTGGATTGTGAGATTGAGTTAGTCTGATCCCCAAGCATTTTGAGCAGTCTGGTGTGAGCGGCTCTGAATGCACCTGGGAAGTGCCATTCAGCGTAACTCCATGAGTCATGGGAGTACGCAAGGCATCACACCACGTTAAGGTTCAGTCTCTTTGCGATGGGTTATTGGAAAGGGCTACACCCTTCGAATGCTTCCGGCTCTGATTTGTTTCATCCGAAGCGGTTGCATGAATTGGTCGCTGAAGTAAGTGCTTATCCTACATGCGTGTTTTCAAAATCGCTTGACAACCGTGCCGTACCTTTGGGATGGGAGGAAACCGCTCACTAAGGGTTCGTTACGCTAATTTTGTACAGGCCACACAACAGCGCACTGATGATGTCACCTCGACTGGTGATGAAACGTGTGGAAGAAAGATGCCAACCTCAGCGATTAGTGAGACCGCTCCGTGAACAATTTGAGCTACCGGTTTTCATTTGCATATCGGACCTATGGATTTTTAGCTAAACTTATAATGATGCCCAGTGTTGCTATCCTGAAGCGATGTAGCAAATGGATTTTATGGGATCCTAGTGCGACCTACCTATTGGAGTTGGTCTGTGGGAGTATGCATTGCGTGTGGAGTGTTCAGCGTTGGGACATACTAGGTGGGATGATGTTTCATGTGGTGTGGTTTGTAGGTTGACGTCATCTTGTTTGTTCTCTTGTTTGTGGATGCTGATGGTGTTTGTGTTGAATTGCTTATTGTCTCTTGTTGGTTGAGCATGATTACAAGTGTGTGTGTTGTTCGGTTTCAGCGTTCTCCGTGCACTCGCAATCGCGTGTGGCTTTGTGTGCGTCGGGAGAAGGTGAGTAATTTCGATTGCTAGTTTGTGTGTTAATTGCCGTATGTCTCTCTGGTTTATGATGCACAATTTCTTTCCCCGTCTGAACGGAGGTGATGTGTAATTTGTGAACTGATGCGTTGACGTGTCACGAGCTTGCCGGCTCATCAGCTGTCTGGTGTTGTGTCTGCGTTACATCCGGTGTTTCCCGCGTTTTCTGTTTGTAATGCTAGGTGTCGTCTGGATTTGGTGGATGGGCGCTTTGGGATGACTGGTTCACTGCATGGATGAGTGATGTGTATCGTGGCGAGCGGTCTACTATGCATCAGCGCAAGAGTGAATTTGGGTCACCGCGTGCATTCGAGGTTTGTTGTTTGTTCGCTGATTGTGCGTTGTGTGATTTCTGTAGTTGTACATGTTTAACACTGCTGTCCCTTGCAACCTTTTCAGCGGTTTGTTCGGACGTGTGGCGGCGTGCGGTTCTGGTTCGTGTTGATGCAGTGTGTGGATGTCTTGGTGACGTGAGGTGAGTGCCAATGATGTGAATGTGCGATGTCTAGCGTGACGGGGTTCAACTCATTGGCTGTCGATGTGAGTGCATTTCCGTGTAGCTGACCTAGTATCCTGCGTGGGCGAATTCTCCCGTGGGTGAGTGTGAGTGTAAGCGCAGATGAAATGGGGAGATGCCTGTAGTCCGACGTGAAGGTGTTGGACTGATTGAACTGATGCTTCGCTGCCATACCATCATGAATAAAGAATAAGGGGAGAGAAGGGGACTTACCTGAAAACCTTAATGCCTAAGCAAACATTCAGGGTCAAGGCGCCCACACCTTGTGTTACAAAACCCTGGGTTATTCCCGACATGTGTTGATTGTTTGCGGATTGCACAGACATGTGACAGTGTGAATCTCGGTGCGATGGACGAATTCTTTAGTAATCTGAGACGTTGTTGTAAGCGTAGTTGTTGTACTTTATGTTTCAGTACTGGTGACGCGAAACGCGCTATTTGCGGGTTGTTTATGTGAACGGGGCGGTCGGTAGTGATGGTGCGTTTCAAGTGAGTTTGTTTTTTTTGTTACATGTTTTGTATATTGCTGCGGTTTGTGTTTGGTGTTGTACCGTCGCAACGAGACTTGACCCTTACGCGGTGCGACGGTTTGCCTACCTCATTGACCCATTGAGCTATACTGGGTGGTGCCTCCGGGCACCTTGAGAGCTACTCCTACCATGTTGGTCAATGCTGAGAGGTCAGACAATTTCAGTCTCCTGGTCCTCCAGGTTGGGAGTTTGAAATTGTATGACGTCCATTGCCGTAAAACTGAATCATTGCCACCTCCCCGCTGCCTTGCGGACAGGCTTTTGAGCCGAAGGCTTTGGATGAGGACCCTAATCATCCTCCTTCTAGGTCTGGGCGCCCTGGCAGTATCTTAGCCCGCATACAACCATGGCATTTTCTTCAAACATAAACTTCATCCTGCATCGGCCGTCGCGCCGATTATCAAGGGTTGCTTTATCTGCTGCATACAGCAGGGCGGATAATCGAAAACATGCTACTACTGACGCCTCCCTTCTTTCTTCTTCTTCACCTTTTTCTCTTACTCCCATCCCGACCCCCATTACTAACCTTCCTTCTATAATTCCCAGCTTAATTGACAGCAACCGAAGTGCCACTGGAGTAGAACCATCTACAGCCACCATCCCACAGTACCTATTAGACGCCTATCGGCAAAAGTCCCATTCGTGGAAGGCCTTTCGAATTTCCACAATTCGATACGTTCTGCAACTTTTTAGGCTGCCGCCGTATTCATACCACAGCGTATCATGCATCAGCCAATAGATTACTTGAACGTTTCCACAGACAGCTTACAGCCTCGCTCTGCGCCTTCTCAAACCCTCACTGGAGCGAAAACGTTTTGCTTGTCCTCTTAGGTATTCGCAGCAGCACCAAAGCTGACTTGTAATGGGCACCAGCAGAGCTGGTTTAGGACACAGAACTAAACTTGTCGGGGAAATTCGTCTCATCTCCAGCATCGTTATGTATGCCCCGTCTAACTGCGTCGTACCTAGCACAACACATACGTTCAGTAAGCCCGACCCCTACTCCTTAGCATACCAGAGATGTTAAATACACAGTAAACTTTCTAGTCACACTCATCTTCTGATACAGTGAGGGACCTGCTCCAGTCTCCCTACACGGTTCCAGAGTTTTGCAACGCACTTCGCTCTATATATATATATTTGCAAAAGTCTACGAATATACATAATGCCATCAGAAACCATGGGATTCAAACGAAAGTACATAAATAGTAAAATAAAACACAACACTTCGCTCTAGATCAGAATGATCATCGAACAACGGTGTCCATCGACCATCTCAAAGTTGCCCCTTTGACAAACCACTTCCAGTCCATCCTGATACTTTCATACCATCATAGCCATCTGCGGTGACTTCCCGAGCACTGCATTCCCCGAAACCCTTTGTTCCTCTTGACCATCAACCTACCCCGTCTCAACCCCAGGCAGCCGAGCGACGAAGTAAGCGAGTCAAACGTTCCATCCGTTTTTCAAGTTGTGTGAACGTTTGTTATTTCCATTAACACGCATGTCTTTGGTGGTAAGCGTGCGTTTTATCCACAGACGTTTTGTAAGGTCGACAAAAGCTTTTAAAATGTTTGTAAAACCCAGAAGTGTATTTGCTTTTATTCTGCATGCCACATTCCCTCTCCAGCATCGAACCACTTTCCCCGACCCTTACACGCCCCCTCTGAGTTCTACCATCCAGAAACTGAATTACCAGAACTACGAGGGCAACTTTTGCGTTGCACACCACCCGGCTCAAGGCCCCTCCCTGACCAAAGCGACAATCAGCCGCCCTTGACCTCGGGCGGCTACAACCAGATTAGTCCCCATACACCTGGCTACGTAGTGCAGACGAGGACGCTCGGATTTCTTCGTGGGACGAGGATTGTCATCGCCGTGGACTGGAGTGCGGTGAGAGGAGAGAATGACGCTTCTTAAGCGCATCCTCAGATCTGCAGCGGAGGAAATGTCTTGTCCTTTTTATGAACTGGCCAGTTTTTTCTTCATTCCTACGAGCCCGCCCCGAAGGCCCACCAATGATTCCCTCAAGGAAGCCTGGACCCTATGAAATCTACTGCATACCCCTGTTTGGAATCCTGTCTTCGAGCCCATCTGCTACTCTTCGCACCCATCCTCCTTCTGACAGCTCTATCGAAGGCGTCCATTCCTTAGCCTTTCTAGGGCGAGACCATTTTAGTGCACCTGAAAGCATACTCTTTCAGCATTTTATAACACTGGATGTTATTGTTGTTTGAACTTTCTCAACGTCCATTTGTTCTACTACTGCATATCCGCCTGCACGTTTTGCTCTGGTAATTACTACGCAACGCATTCCTCGCCCTTGCTCATTCGTTTCCCATTCACTTTAGCCTGTACAATATACATTTGCTGCAGTCGCCTCTATATGTTCTACTGTCCGGTATTTCGCACTTCTTTTGGGTCTCATTGCGACCGACTAGTATCCATCGCGCCACCCAACAGAGATCATTTCCATAATGGTAGAAAAATTCGGCGGATTTCAAGCATGACATGTTTGTCCCAAACACCATTTGAGCAGCGTTGCAGGTCTCTTCGGTGGTTGCATGTGCAGCATTACTGTATTGCATTAGGAAATTGTCAACACCTCTGTCAAGCTCAACAAACGTATTTCTTGTTGAGCAAAGCAACTGGACTTTTGAGAACCCTCAAAATGTTTTCTGCAACGCGATTTGATTGTAAATGCCTAGGCGCAGTCCATAGGTGGCGACAACGGTTCTAAGTCACTCATCCACGTTTATGGCACTGAGCAAAACAGACGGTACCCCGCGCCTGAAGGTCTAACGGAAAGCAGTACTGGTAAATTCTGAACTGGAAGATATAGAGTCTACTTCTGGCCAACGAGAAAGTGATTCGATAATAATTAATGCGTACTATTTGCCCAGAAATGGACCACAATAGTCAGCAATTACGCGTGGCCAAGCCTCACGTGACATTGGCCAAGGTTTCCATTTCGACGGTCCGAGATGCATTTTGTGCAAACGGCCAGCTCAGTCCTTCGCCGTGCGCTCTGGCCACCAACAGATAATCATGCTAGCTCCCTAGAACAACAGATAGCACTGAATAAGTTGCGGGCACGTGCTACGCATGCCTGGTCATCGCTTACCTAGGAGGGCCTTGTTTAGTCTGCCAGGTGTAGGGTGGCGCAAGGCTCGAGGTGGACAGAAGTTGACTTGGCAGCGGGAAATGAAGTCACTGACAACTAAACTGGGTGCCGTTGGTCCGTCTCGCCTTCCGGGTTGGAGTCCACGTGACTCACCTTGTGCTTGGCTTGAGACTTTACAGGACATGGCTCGCGGTAGACACCAGTGGCGCGTCTGCTGCCGTCTCCTAATCGGATTGTCTGTTTAAAGTGTGTTTGGTGCTGAGTTATCTTCGGGGTAATGGCTGATTATGACTCGGGGCAGTGAAAGCCGCGAGGAAGCTGTCTCACCGATGCCGCCTTATCTTTGCACGATAGCCAGCTGTTTGTGACGGAATGTTGTCTACACAAGGTGTAGGCGCCTTGACCCTGAATGTTTGCTTAGGGCATTAAGGTTTTCGGGTAAGTCCTCCTTCTCTCCCTCTTCTTATTCTTTATTTCATAGGTCCTCATGGTTGTATGACAGCGAAGCATCAGTTCAAATGGCTGATGTACTGCTGTTGATAATGATGATGGCCAACAGATCAATCTAGGCAAAGATCTCATCTTTTCTACACCAAGATGACCGGTGTGCAAGTCTTTCAATACAGCAGATCGAAGTGTGGGAGGCACAATAATACGATCGTGGAAGCAAAAATTTTCTTCAGACGTAACGGAAAGTTCATCGTACAACTTGTAAAATCAGGGAAATCATCTTTTTATATCAGAATTCCGCCCTTTCCGGATTGATGACTACAGATGATAATATTTCCTCGTATCACCACAGATCAGCTGAGAACGACTTCCCGCAAGTGGCTTGGTTCAAATACACTTAACTTCCAATCTCATTGGAATTAGCATATCATTATAAGTACACAACATGCGGTATGTGCTTAACACTACGGTGCTTTATGTCGTGCGGATGTGCCGCAAAGGTTATGCTCCAACGATGTATTATCTTTGCAGAAGACAGCCAGGGAATTGTGATGAAAAACGAACTTCAAGGCTTCGTTGTCGTTCGTAATCATAAAATGCATGCATGTAAGCGTGATATTACCCAATACCTCTGGGCAAGCTGGTGTTGGAATCACCCTCAGTGCTGGAGCCGGGGCTGTTCTGATTGGTTAGATTCCGATCGATAATCGCCTTTGTGCGATGAGACTCCATGGCTCTTGTAAAGTTAGCAGACGTCGAATCGAAAAGCGTACTCTCTTCATGATCTCTGCCTCGCGCCTACTGACTGGAGCTCGGACACAGTCAAAAACCAGTTCTACCAGAACCTTCATAAGCTGCTGCTAAGGGCTCCTAAAATAGAAATCATTGTTTTGGCAGGAGACTTCAACGCGCTTGTCGGTCGGCTGCTACCATGTGAACGCCACCTCGGGAGACAGCATGGATATGAACATGTTCGCTCAGACAACGGAAAGAGACTGCTCAGTTTGTGTGCTGATCATCAGCATGAGGTATGGTCATCCTGAACGCCAGTACGCCACTTATCGCCCCCATCATCAATTCAGTGCTGGTCACAGATTGACCACATAGTCATAAGTCGCACTAGATGTGCTGGACAAGTTGGGGCTAGTGTACAAACCTCTTCATGGCTTGCCTCAAATTTGACCGACTTGCACAGGAACCATCGGAAACTCTACAGTTTTGTTGATCGCCTCATTCGCGGTGTACGACCCTGCGAGTATCCAGCTATAAGGAAAAATGGAATCGAGGGCGTCATGCTAGTGCAACAGTTGACTAGTGGAATCACTACTAACCGAAGTCGGGAATGTCTACTTT